TTCTTGCTTCTAAGGAACATTCCAGCTGTATTTTTTCCAAGACAGATTTGTTTGTTCTTCTGGCAGTCAATGGTATTTTCAGTATTCTTTGCCAACACCACAATTCAAGTGCATCAATTCTTCTTCTCTTCCTTACATGATTTAAACATTAGAGACCTGTTATTTTGTTAGTTAAATAGTTCCCTAGTGGCTAGAGATGAAGGAGCTCTGGTAGCATAGTGCCTAAGGCACATGACTGCTAACCAGAAGGCTGGCAGTTCAAACCCACCAGCCACTCCTAGGAAGGAAGGTTGGGCAATTTATTTCCATAGTGATATTGCCTCGGAAATCCAAGGAGGGGTTGCTATAAGTCGGGTCCGACTCAATGGCACATAACAACAACAACATGGCTAGAGATGAAGGTTTAGGAACCATTCTAGATGTCACAGAAGACTAGTCGACCTAGAGATCAGAAATACATATGTGCCAAATAAAGGCAATAGTCAAAGATGAACATTTACACAAATAATTTTGTGACAGTGGTAAGTATTACAGAGACATAGAGGGAGCAACGAAAATAGATAGGGGAAGTATCCCTGAGGAAAAGAAATTGAGCTAAGTCCTGAAGAATGGAAAGGTATTTTAAAAAGAAATGAGCAGTGAGGAGGGTGATCCAGACATAAGGTCTCTGAGTCGAGAAGGAGCTTGTGCTTGGAGGAAAAGAAAACCAGTGAGATTGGGTTGGTGTACAAAAGAGGGGCGAAAGGTTAGGGACAGGCTGGAGGCTGAAGCTAGGTGTGTAGAAAGAAGAGGACCCTTCAGGAAGAAGAAATTAGAAGGAAGGGGCCAATGTGGAAGCAGTTTTATCAAGAGGTGGAAGGATTGGAACAGAGATTACAGATGGGAATCTTGGCATGAGCAAGGAGGACAAACATCTGCTTCTGTGAATCAGTAGGGGATATTTGATGAGAAGATGTGAGGATTAAGCTGTGTTGAAAATGATATCAAGTATCTTACTCAAAGCAACATTATTTGGTGCTTTTTTAGGCTCTCCTTTCCAACCTTATCAGCCTACACAATTTGTTATTGTGGAAAGCAACTTCTGAGGTAGCTCTTTTGCTTAGGCAAAGGTGTGGACAGAATGCACGTGCACAAGTCAGAAACCCAAGAGTGTATTTTATGGATTTTCAAGGTTGTCTGGAACCTGAAAGATCATCCAATCCAAACAACAGGGAATGTTCCAGAGACCGATAATCTCCTTCTACAACCCCTTCCCAGTGAGAGCTGTGATAGCATTTGATTTTCATCTGCATTTTTGTTTCTCTCACCTCTGGAGGGACAGAAAACAACATTTATTTGGCTTGAACTCACTGTTAAGGACTCAGAAGACTCACACAATAAATTGAACACTAAGGCTTCAGGACACTTCACTTTAAAATTTTCTCTCTCTACTCAGATGTCAACCTGTGGAGAAGCTCTCTGAATATACAAGGAGATGATATAGAATATAGAAGTAATATACAGAAGTAAGACGATACAGAGCTCATGCAAATAATTATTTTGGTGTGTTGTTGGATTTGTGCAGAGAATGCATTTTATAAAAATGATCTCTGAGTAGCTGGAACTACATTAAGGAAAAGAGAGGCACTGTTTTCTCAGAAATACCACCCCCAAATCAACTCATTATTTAAACCTTGGCCTGAGGTAGTTTGCAAACCTGATTGTAAGGATAGATAAGAAAACTGAAAGCTTAACAATTGGCTAACCAGGGAGTCTGATACGGGAGAATCTTGGATAGCTAGTTAGTCACTTGGGATTAGTTGTCTGTCAGTTCAGAATAAGTGAGGAGCTCTGGTAGCATAGTGCCTAAGGCACTTGACTGCTAACCAGAAGGCTGGAGGTTCAAACCCACCAGCCACTCCTCAGAAGGAAGATGGGGCAATCTACTTCCATAGTGATACTGCCTCGGAAACCCAAGGAAGGGTTGCTATGAGTCGGATCCGACTCGACGGCACATAACAACAACAACAATAGCAGATGGTGTGAACATCTCAGCTAAACCCAGTGAATGAATTCCTCTCATCTTTTATGATGCAAGAAGCTGGGTTTTGGCTCAGAGATGGTATGAAACTCATTTAGGATTACATAGGGAGTAACTAGTAGATTCAGGACTTCCAAAGCTCATGACCTTCAGTCTATGCCAGTGTTTTCCAAACTGGGTTCCTTAGAGTGCTATGAAGGTTGGAAGCCATCTTTGGAGGCTAGGGTGGGGGTTGGAGGATGAGAAGTGGTTACGTGAATGGGGTTCTCATTTTCATTCAGCTAGGACCATACTACTATTGCCTGGTTAATATTTTGGGATCACTTGAAGGACTTTGAAAAAGATTGTCACTTCTAAACAATATATTGAAAACTACCCATCTATAGCATGCTGTCTCCTACAAAGAAAGAGGCAAACACAATCATTCAGCTGGCTTGGCAACTGGCTTTTGTTTAAGGCTTATAATTCTGGTTTTTCTTCTACATGCTCTTATCTTATTCAGCTTTAGCAGGGTACTAATAGCCAGTCACTGATGATGGGTGTTGGTCTGGAACTGTCATTAAGAATAGAGTGAATAGCATCAGCCTACCCATTCTGTCCAATGTTGTTCCCTTTGAGCTGCCTTGAATTGCCATATGGGCAATGCATGTGTGGTCTGTTCTCTCTTGGGGGCTCCATGTCAAGTCTTCTCCCCCTTATAGTTTCTGGTGCCATTGAACCAACAGAGTGCCTGTAATTAAAGGCAGTGGGTGGCAGGCTGACAGGATCAGTGTCAGTGTCGGGCCCCCTGAGGACCAGGGAACATTGTGGACTAAGTTTTCCCATCTGTGTAAACTGATTGTTTATGTTTTTATGCATCAGTGGGTAAAATCTAAAAGTGGATGGCACTTATCTTTTCTAGCTTGCTGTCTGCTGTACGTGCTTTGGGAACATAGTAGAGGTGAGTCCCAAGGGAATTTCTTGGCTGTTTAACTTCATTGAAAATGTAAGGTGCTAAGGCTTTAAATACATTGCTATTCTTCCCCTTGCTTCACTGCAGAATGAACAACAATGATGTTCTGCTGAACATCAATTATAGACGTTTTAGGAAGGGCTCAGCAGTTTTGTGAGAATGGAGCTGTATTACTCAAGTGTAATGAGCCAAAAAAAAAAAAAAAAAAAGTCTCGTTTCTATGCAGCACTAGTAGAGACCCATGCCCTGAACATGTAAGTGCCTTTTCTGCTTCATTGTAGGTTTGGGAGGCACAGGTTATTCACTCAGCTTTATCATCACAAACGTGAAAGGAACATTCTGGCTCCGGGAACTAAGCTGAAATGAATATCAGGGACAGAGCTTCTGCCAACTAATTATGCACTAAATATTCAAATACAGGGTTTTCAAAGTTTCAACTACCTAATGGCTCCACCCATGGCCCACACACACATAAAAGAGTTTGAAAATTATTGGCAATTCCACTTAAATTCTTTTGCAAATCCAATATTTATTTTATTTTATTATGTACAAAAGGTAAATCCAAAATGAAAATAAAATTCTTTTGGCCACACTGATTTTAATTTTCCATTATTTTATAGTCACAATTAATTGTATAAACAATAGGCTGTAACTACAATGTTCATTTCACAGAAAGAATGTCAAATTTTGGTATTTCAAGAATGTTAACATAGAGAGGAGATCATAAAGCAACTTGGGGGCAAGGGATTCTGAGATAATTGCTCAATTAAAAAACAATCTAAAAATCGAATCTCCAACCAAGAAAAATTCAGATACGGGTCTAAACCCACTTCCACTTGGGCAACCTAGCATAAGAGACCCAATGCCTCTTGATTGTTTTGAATTTGTAATTTCCCAGAGGACATGGACCACTGATGTGTGAAACAAATACAATTAGGTTATGGGATATCTAAACTGTGAGTTTAGAGCAAAATTTTACTGGGTCCCATTATTTCCATAGGAAATTCTGGTACCAGGGTAATCGTTCTGAATCTAACTTAGCAATGATGTGTAGGAGTCAAATGATAATGGCTCAGCTGATTCATGGCAAGGTGGACATAACCTGGGTAAGAAGCCAGTGATAACATCACACATACAAAGATTTTATTTCATGGGTTGAATCATGTACAGTTTACTATTGTTGCTAAACTCAGTTACTAAAAATTTTCTAAAAGAAACTCATCATCTTTGCATAAGGATGTCCTCAAGTGATTCATCTGCAGGTTTGTTTTAAGCCAGGCAGCTCCTTGGGCCAGGTGCTTTGCCTGGTACTTTCACACACAATTCTCCTGGACACCTGCAACAGTTTCTTTAAAGGGATTGAGGCCAGAAATGGACTTGTTTTGATTTCTAAATATCTTGTGTATATTTTAGAAAAGAACATAGGAAAACGAATACACTTTTTAAAATTCATAATCTGTAGTTTGTAAAACATATGATTTTAGCATGAGCTCAGTGCTGATCTTTGGAGATCAATCATAAATAATAAATTCTCCCAAGAGAAGTATTCATAGTTGAAGTGGGAAAAAACATGAACTAAAACCATAGGCCCTGTACCTTAAGCATCAGCCTCTTTGGGCTTAGCACTTTAAGTTTTTTTTTTTGGGGGGGGGGCTGGAAATAAATAATACATATGAGCATACATGAATACATACCTTAGTTTACAGATACAGAATATATAAATTTTAAAATGATCTACACCTGCTATTGATATAGTTTCTAATATTATCAATACTGCCTTTGTACAAATTTTTTTGACCATTTTGCTTTGGGCCTTTTTCCCCCCGGTTTTGCCGGCCCGTTTTTTCCCCCTTCTTTTGCCGGGCCACCATTCACTTGAAAAAATATTGTGACAAGTTGAAATCAAATTATATATCTGTTATAGATCGTTCACTGGACAATGAAGGAAATGATCAGGAAATAGTTTGAAAAATTACTGGCAATTTCATTTAAATTCTTTGACAGTTTTTTCTAGATGTTGTTGGACTCTCATCTGCATTGGTTTCCACCTAAATATCCAGAAGGTCATCTCCACTTTCATCACTCTCCACAGTCAGCTGCCGGGTCCACCACTTCTTCACTTCAGAACCACAGGAAGCTGCGTCGGTCATGGGGTTCATTTTGCATACTACGGATTTCATCGTTGTCCTTCCTCCAAACCGTAAGTTGACGGAAGACACTGAATGGCTTATTGGTTTTGGTGCTGGGGAATTAACAAGAGTCTGTGAACAATTTGCTGTTGTTTCACCCTATTGCAAATCATTCCTGAGAAGCTATGATATTTCTGTTCGTAATGCTTTTGGCTGGCATATCCTGTCCATAGATGTTAGATATGAATCCTTTTCAGCACTCAATTCCTTATATTCATAACAGATTTGGAATTATGCTAATTGACTAGTAATACCACTTGAAAAAAAACCTGCTTTCACTTTGAGATAATCACAACAAACTAGAAAATCACTACAAGTTCTAAGTTGGGTAAATGTAAATATAGAAGCATGTGTGTGGGTCTTAAGTACA